GAACAAAACAGGGAAACATGGATGAAACTGTATGTAGAATTCATGTTCTCGCCATCCCTTTGCCTCTACAAGGCCACCTCAATCCGATGCTGCAATTATGCAAGCGTTTAACCTCAAAGGGTGTTAGAATCACGCTAGTCACTGGCACCTCAGCAAGTATATCGGAGCAAAATCAATTTGAATCGATCAAGATCGAGTATATTCTAGACGATGATAACATTGAAGTCGAGGGATCAAACGCATCAGAGAAAGTTGCTGCCTTCTTGAAACGGTTTAATAGCGCAGTTTCAGATAATTTGGCCAGGCTAGTCGAGGAAAAGGCGAGTTCTGATCATCCTGTGAAAATAGTTCTGTATGATTCACTGATGCCATGGATTTTGGAGATAGTGCAGGGACAACTAGGCCTTAAAGGGGCTGCGTTTTTCACTCAGGCTTGCGCGGTTTCTGCAATATACAACCATATTCGTCGAGGAACGTTGAAAGTTCCTCTAGAGACATCTACCATATTGTTTCCTTCAATGCCACAACTGGAGTCGAACGATCTGCCTTCTTTTGTTTATAATCCTGGTCCATACCCAGGTATTTTGGATCTTGTCCTCAGTGAGAATATAAACCTGGAGAAATCAGATTGGCTCTTGTTCAACTCTTTTGACAAGCTAGAAAATGAGGTAGAGTTCTCATTCTATAAAATAATTGGAATTTGGAAGTTCACCCGTTAGCAACATTTTATTTGACGCTGTTTAAATTAAATTACATATTGGCAATACTTTTTGAATCATTGTTAGTGTCAATTATGTTCATCCGTGGAATTTGATCATTGGTAGACCACAAGATCTGTTTATTTTGTTCATAGCAAAAATCACATTGTACAACTTCTAGTTAGTTATTGCTAATAAAAAATAAAGTTAGTAAATTAAGAAACAAACGACTTATATCAACTGTTTCGAAAATTAGACCGGACCAAATCAGCTGGTTTGAATGGCTAAACCGCAAACCGATATTGGCACTGGTTAGGTTTTCTATTAAACTAGAAAAAGTAAGTAAACTGGTCAATTTGGATCAAGAAATGGTTAAACCAGTCAAAACTAGATGGTTGAACTAGTTTCCTCCTTTTTTTCATTTTAATCTTTGATACATTTCAATACAATAGGCATAGATAATCTTTTCATAAATTCATGCTTCAATTTTTTTAATTGTGTTTTTGGGGGTGGGCTTGATTGAATTTTGCTGTTTGGGAAATATTACAATCTTTTTGCTTAATCTCAACTAGGTAGTGACCTGGTTGACAGAACGGTATCCAATCAAGACCATAGGCCCTTGTACTCCATCCATGTACACTGACAAGCGATTGAAAGATGACAAAGATTACACCATCAATTTCTTCGCACCAGATTCAGAAGCTTGCCTAAAATGGCTTGACACCAAGGAAACAGGCTCAGTTGTTTATGTATCCTTCGGTAGTGTCTCGGACCTTGGAGAAAATCAAATGCAGGAAATAGCATGCGGCCTGATGAATAGCAACTGCAACTTCTTATGGGTAGTTCGACCTTCTGAAGAGAGCAAAATTCCTAGAGATTTCATGTCCGAGGCACAAGAAAGAGGTCTAATCGTGAATTGGTGCCCTCAAATAAAGGTTTTGTCGCACAGGGCGGTGGGATGCTTCATGAGTCATTGTGGTTGGAATTCAACAATTGAAGCATTGAGCTTGGGTGTGCCAATGGTGACCATGCCAGTGTGGGTTGATCAACCTACAAATTCTAAGTATATTGTGGATGTATGGAAGGTAGGATTGCGAGTTAAGGCGAGTGAGGAAGGGGAAATGGTAACAAGAGAAGAAGTAGAAGGAACTATAAGAGAAGTTATGCATGGGGAGAAGGCAAGTGAGCTTAGAAACAATGCTTTGAGGTGGAAGGAGTTGGCTAAGGAGGCAATTAGTGAAGGAGGAAGCTCAGACAAACACATTGAAGAATTTGTTTCGAGTCTTGAAAGCACTTAGTTAAATTAATATCCAATTTTCTTCACACAGTTTTCAAATTTTAATGATCTGTTGTTAATTTGAAATTGCAAATAACAGTCAACGTATGCATAGATTATCCTAATTGACACTTCAATTAGTATTAACCTATCCATTGAAGTACTAATGTAACTTTAATTTAGAACTTCAAATTCTTGGGACCTAAACCTTGAGTTGACACATAATTTACAATCTCAGAAGCAATAGTTGTATGTGAGGCAATTTTTTTTATTTCAATAGTTAAGTGCATGAGTTGGTGTGTGTGGATCGAAATTGCTATTTGAATAGACAAGTCTCTATATTCATATGTTATGTTATTTTCTTATTGAATTTAGTTGAACTCGTGAAACATAAGTCTTCAGAAGTAATAACAAAACCAACCGACTAAAACTCAAAACCTGCAGAAGGTGCTCAACAACCAACCAAGAAGCACCGTACCTAGAGACTGCTACCTTAGCTATTTACCTACTTACATTTCAGGACTACGACTTTATTTATCTATCTATGTGAATAATATGAGGTTGAATAGTAAAATTATTCAGCATCAACCTTCAATTTGAACTACAACTATGTCTATTATCCCTTAACTATGGTTGCATAAGCTTTGATAATTCTCTCGACTGATTATCTACTATAATAGTATGCAATATTTTATATACACATGGTATGACATTTTTGGCTACCATTAATAGTATGCCTTGCCCAATTGTCCAACATTACCAAATTATTTAACAACACCACAGGTATAAATTGCCATGCTTTGCATGGGTCTTCTCCCTAGTAATTAGAATAATAAAAACCAAGATCACAATAATGTTTATACTTACATTCCAAAGTACCAAAACTCATGGTACTTTTTATATAGTAATGATAATGTTAATGGTAATACTAATCTTTGTTTGTGACATTAAGCATTATAAAGTTGATCATGATTATAGTTAATTGTAGGACTTTAAAAATTAGAATTTGGTCTGGGGGCTAATCAGCCTAATCAATGATTTTAGTTAGGCCAATAGATAATGGAGATGCAAGTCACTTTCCTGAGTAGGTTGAAATGCGCCTAATCAAAGAATTTTCCATGTGTACAAACTCATAGTACGCGCCAAAATATAAAAAAAGTTAACAAGCTTGTCGGTTTTGTACATGTATTCGCAACATACTGAAGCATCTGACTTAATTTGTCTAGATTCCCGACTCTTGGCATTGTTACTCGTGAAACAGCACTTTGGCCAAAACCATGGTCACGTCAACGGGTGGAAAGTTCCCTTTTCTGCCCACGGTAGGCAGAAGCAAATGCGGAGGCCAACTGTGTTCTCCGGGGTTGGCACCAGAGAAAGTCAGGTTGTGCGTGGATAAAATAATGCAATACATTTTAAAATTACAATAAAAACTTTTTAAAAATTTGTTCATCATCTAATGCCAAAGCAAATATTGTGGTAGGTTTTCGTTTTTAATTGAGTTTGATATTTAAAATAATTGAATCATAAATATAAAAGGAAGAGTTGGAAACTTAGACATGATTAAAATAAAAGGAGATGTGGACTTTTGGTCCCCCAATATTTGGTCTATGAGTTAAACTAGTCCCTGATATTTCGACCAAAATAAATATGGTCCCAGAAGTTTTGACAACTAATAGAAAATTAGAATATCTAATTGTCAAAATCAAATTAGAATTAGTCAAAAGTTTTGATTTTGTAGTTTTTGGTCCCTAATATTTGAAAATTTATTCAATATGGTCCCTTATGTTTTAAATAATTATATTTCAAATGAAATAAAATGTGACTTAGATTAAATGCATAAAAAAATGTGTTCTCAAATCTCATAAAAATCCTTAAATTGCTTCACATTGTCAATATACTATCAGTTAGCCTAAAGAGCATCTCTTCGTTAAATTAATTACAAACAAATGACAACACATGAATCATATATAAAAGAAAAATTAGTGGAAAAAAGAGAATTTTAATTTGAGGATATAGTAACTTTAATTCTAAACAATATAACACAAATTGTTGCATGACTTGTGGATCTAAGTTTCAATCAATTATGGTTAGGCATTGTGATTGCATTAACAAGTAAAGGTGATTACTAATATGAATGACTCATGTGAATTGTAAAAATATTTCTTGCTGTTTCTTCTTGTCTTTCCTTCATATTAAATCAAATATTTCAATAACACAATTCAATGTATTATATTTACATTCATCTGACATTGATAATTTTATTGAATAATTTAAACAATTATAAAATCTTTATTTCAATTGAAACTTAATTGACAACTAGTTGAAATGCCAAAAAAAAAAAAAGAAAACGAAAAATATTATTCAATCAACTCAACACCTATAGTTGTTGATATTATAATAGGATATGTAATTAACTGTTTTCATTTATCAAGTATAAGTATTGGGCATTAGATGATGAACAAATTTTTGAGAGGGCGTTTGTTGTGGTTTCAAAATGTATTGCGTTATTTCATCCACGCACAACCAGCTTTCTCCTATACCTGATGCATCTTTTTGCTGTCCGTCTTTGTGCATCCCCACAGAACACACAGTTGGCCTCCTTGCATTGCCATTTGCTCAAAAATCATTAAAAATGTTTTTGGCCAGGCATTATAATATCGATTCGAGAAATTGAAGGCAAAGACACTTTTTGGAACTCCAACCTCAATTTCTTTATAAAACCCAAGCAGGAACAGAACAGGGAACACATGGATGAAATTGGATGTAGAATTCATGTTCTGGCCATCCCATCCCCACTCCAAGGCCACCTCAATCCGATGCTGCAATTATGCAAGCGTTTAACCTCGAAGGGTGTTAGAATCACGCTAGTCACAAGCACCTCAGCACGTTTATCGGTGCAAAATCAGTTTGAATCGATCCAGATCGAGTATATTCTAGACGATGATAACATTGAAGCTGAGGGGTCAAAATATTCAGAGAAAACTACTGCCTTCTTGAAACGTTTTAATACCGCAGTTTCAGACAATTTGGCCAAGCTAGTCAAGGAAAAGGCGAGTTCTGGTCATCCCGTGAAAACAGTTCTGTATGATTCAATGATGCCATGGATTTTGGAGATAGTGCAGGGACAGCTAGGCCTTAAAGGGGCTGCGTTTTTCACTCAGGCTTGCGCTGTTTGCGCAATATTCAATCATATTCATCGAGGAACGTTGAAAGTTCCTCTAGAGACATCTACCATATTGCTTCCTTCAATGCCACAACTGGAGTCGGATGATCTGCCGTCTTTTGTTTATAACCCTAGTCCATACCCGGGTCATTTGGATGTTGTCCTCAGTCAGAATATAAACCTCGAGAAATCAGATTGGCTCTTGTTCAATTCTTTTGACAAGCTAGAAAATGAGGTAGATTTCTCATTCCATAAATAATTGGAATTTGGAAGTTCACCCATTAGCAACATTTTATTTGACGCTGTTTAAATTAAATTACATATTGGCAATACTTTTTGAATCATTGTTAGTGTCAGTTAAGTTCATCCTTGGAATTTGATCATTGGTAGACCATAAGATCTGTTTATTTTGTTCATAGCAAAAATCACATTGTACAATTTCTAGTTAGTTATTGCTAATAAAAAATAAAGTTAATAATTAAGAAACAAACGGCTTATGTCAACTGTTTCGAAAATCAGACCGGACCAAACCGGCTGTTTGAATGGCTAAACTGCGAACCGATATTGGCACTGGTTAGGTTTTTTATTAAACTAGAACAGGTAAGTGAACTGGTCAATTCGGATCAAGAAATGGTTAAACCAGTCAAAACCAGATGGTTGAACTAGTTTCCTCCTTTTTTTAATTTTATATATTTTGACGTTATCCAAATTACTTAGTACTAAAATAATTAAAAAATAATTAGATGTTTAACCCAGGATTGATCAGGGTCCTCATTCGGATCACTCACAGATCCGAGCTTAAAAGCATAGCTCATATTAGGTAAGTCTACATGTTAATCTTTCATACATTTCAATACAATTGGCATAGATAATCTTTTCATAAATTCATGCTTCAATTTTCTTAATTGTCTTTTGGGGTCGGGACCTGATTGAATTTTGCTGTTTGGGAAATATTACAATCTTTTTGCTTAATCTCAACTAGGTAGTGACCTGGTTGACAGAACGGTATCCAATCAAGACCATAGGCCCTTGTACTCCATCCATGTACACTGACAAGCGATTGAAAGATGACAAAGATTACACCATCAATTTCTTCGCACCAGATTCAGAAGCTTGCCTAAAATGGCTTGACACCAAGGAAACAGGCTCAGTTGTTTATGTATCCTTCGGTAGTGTCTCAGACCTTGGAGAAAATCAAATGCAGGAAATAGCATGCGGCCTGATGAATAGCAACTGCAACTTCTTATGGGTAGTTCGACCTTCTGAAGAGAGCAAAATTCCTAGAGGTTTCATGTCCGAGGCACAAGAAAGAGGTCTAATCGTGAATTGGTGCCCTCAAATAAAGGTTTTGTCGCACAGGGCGGTGGGATCCTTCATGAGTCATTGTGGTTGGAATTCAACAATTGAAGCATTGAGCTTGGGTGTGCCAATGGTGACCATGCCAGTGTGGGTTGATCAACCTACAAATTCTAAGTATATTGTGGATGTATGGAAGGTAGGATTGCGAGTTAAGGCGAGCGAGGAAAGGGAAATGGTAACAAGAGAAGAAGTAGAAGGAACTATAAGAGAAGTTATGCATGGGGAGAAGGCAAGTGAGCTTAGAAACAATGCTTTGAGGTGGAAGGAGTTGGCTAAGGAGGCAATTAGTGAAGGAGGAAGCTCAGACAAACACATTGAAGAATTTGTTTCCAGTCTTGAAAGCATTTAGTTATATTAATATCCAATTTTCTTCACACATCTTTCAAATTTTAATGATCTGTTCTTAATTTGTGATTGCAAATAACAGTCAACGTATGCATAGATTATCCTAATTGACACTTCAATTAGTATTTACCTATCCATAGAACTACTAACGTAACTTTAATTTAGAACCTAAAATTCTTGGGACCTAAACCTTGGGCTGACACACAATTTACAACCTTAGAAGCAATAGTCATACCAAATTCCTTTGAAACTCTTGATTTTTGATTTTCTCAAAAACATGTTAGTAGGAAAATTCATGCAGTGAAAGTAGCATTATAATTTTGCAAATAATAGATAATAATAAAGGCATAAGAGGAAACAAAATATTCTGTTTTAAGTCACTAATTTCCCTCAACTACATACTTGGGACTTCAAATCTTTAAATAGAAAAATATAACCACAAATCCTATTGTAATTATAGTATCAAAATGTGATTTAACCTATTTCCTAAATCAAATTTGACACCAATTCTAATCTAGTTACCAAATAAAAAAATATAATTCTAAAGCTACTAAACTTCTAAATATGCTTGGTTTAAGGGAGGCATTAACCAAGCATAGTTAGAAGTCTAGTTGTTTTAGAGATCGTGGATTTATAATATTTTTTATATTTTTAAAATAATTTAAAACAGTGAACCAGTGACTCAGCCAGTCGAACCAATTGAACCGATAAAACTAGGAACTAGCTGCTTAAACAGGTTAGTTATGGGTCTGAGTTCAAAAACATTGGGTGGATCCGATGCTGATTTTTGTCGTTGCAGTTACTTGAATGGATCTGATACTAGATTCAATTTAAAGTACAAAATGATCTGGATCGAATACTTGCTAATGATAATAAATATTTAAAGGACAAATTACACTTTACCTCCTGTGATTTAGTGTTTTTTCATATAACCCCTTGTGGTTTCAAAAGCTATACATAACTTCCTTATGGTTTGGATAAAAGTGTCAAAGTGACAGAAATGATTATTTATAATAGAGTCACCTTAAATTTAAAAAGTGCCCTAATGTAAATTTGAAAATTATTTATTAACCAAAGAGGGTTATGTTTATATTTTGAAAACAATAAGGAGATTATATGGTAAAGCATTAAACCATATAGGGGTTATATAGTAAAACATAAAAATCATACGGGGTTAGCGTGTCATGTATTTATAAGGGTAATTTCAACATTTTTAAAAGTTTCGTTATAAATGACTATTTCTGTCATTTTTGACACTTTAATCCAAACCATGAGGGGGTTATATAGAAAAATATTAAATTACAGGGGGATAAAGTGTAATTTGCCCATATTTAAATGTGTTTCTACATCTTTTCATATATAAAAAATAATTACTTTGCAACCAAGTTGTGTCTTAACATGACACTGTATCTGATCATTATTGCTTATTGAGTAAACTTTTCTATCATAAATAACAATTAGTCTAACTTTTGCATTTCATAATTCTTTGTGAAAAAATTAGATTTTGTTGTCTCTTTTTTCTCTCTTCTTGTTACATTGTAGAGGCATATTCCATAATTCAAAAGCAAACTACTAAGCGTAGTAAAAGTAATAAAAACCTTAACGACATAGTTCTAAACATGCTGGCTCAAGATCATCGTGAGCCCCCACTGTCATTGTGTTAAACTTTGTATTACAAGTTTTTTGTACTTTTGTGTACCCTATTCATCAATAAAAACTACAAAAAGAACATGCTGATTCGTCATTCAAATAGTAATGCAATTGGAGTTGGACGGCAGATGGATAACAATGCCACCAGAAGCAATATTTAATGTTATCATTGTCTTTATTTTAGCCCAATATCTATCATTGCACTGCAAATGTGTAATTCTGTTGAAATCATTATACGGAATGCGTTGAATTTGGTATTACAACCTTTTTTGTACTTTTGCATACCACATTCATCAACAAAACCACAAATAAATGTGCCCATGTAGTCAGGTGCCTACTCTTCCAATTTCCTTTGATATCTAGACCAGATTTGAAGAAAACGAAATATATATTTTTCTTAAACATCTAGCAAGCATAATCAGATCACTTTCAAGGTTCTGATAATTTTTTTCCTTTGGAACAAATTCAAGACCGCATTACAATGGCCATGTATTTGTCGCTAGCAACTCTATCTGCCAGAGGAAAATGCAAGTATTCTGGCTATTGATGTAGAAAGCTGGTTTTCCTTTCCTCTCATACTTTTCTTCTCCACAACATTCTTCAAATACTTATTCAATTTAGCATAAATTGCTGGCTCAGAATCCCTGTAAAGAAAAAATCAAAACAGAAGCACTGAAACATGGATGAAATGGAAGTAAGATTCATGTTCTAGCCATCCCTTCACCACTAATCCGATGCTGCAATTATGCAAGCGCTTAACCTCAAAGGGTGTCATGGTCACACTTGTCACTGGCACCTCAGCAAGTATGTCTGTGCAAAAGCAATTTGACTCAATCAGATCGATTATATCCTAGACGATGATAACATTGAAGTTGAGGCACCAAACACAACAGAGAGAGTTTTTGCTTTCGTGAGGCACTTCAATATGGCACTTTCAAGTAATCTAAGCAAAGCTAGTAGAGGAAAATGCGAGTTCTAGTCATCCTGTGAAAGTAGTCCTGTATGATTCACTGATGTCATGGACTTTGATTCCTTACAAAAATGTTAAAGTCTTTCTAGATGACCCTTTACAATACTAATCTTTGTTTGTTGTATCATCCATTATAAACTTGAGGATGCATTTACAAATTATATATAGATTGGGTTTTGGTCCCAATCAGTAATTTATTTAAATCATTTCTAGATGAACCTTTATAATATTGATCTTAGTTTGCTACATTATGCATTAAACAATTGATTTGGTTTGGGGCCTAAACGCTGACTTAATTAGGCCAATAGATAATGGAGATGCAATCCCACATTATTGAGGAGGTTAAAAATGCACCTAATCACAGAAGTTTCTGTGTTCAAATTTATCATACACGCCAACAAGAAATAACATTTACAAGATTGTCGGTTTTGGATATGTTTTCCTAGTGATAAGTGCTAATTTTGTGATCTTTTTGAATGTGTTTCACATTGTTTTGGAGTTAATTTGTAGGATTAATTGGTATAAATTGTCCATTTTATGTCACTAATTTGCACCTTAAGTTGATAAATGAATTACTTGTGATTTTTATCATTCTACTTGCAAAACCTCTTTGTTTTTGCAGATAAAATGATCAAGTTTAATTGGAAGTGAAATGAGCAAGGATGAGAACCTTGAGAAGTTACAACAAATGCTAAAAGAAGTGGTGCAAAAGAAAAGAAAAAAAAACGGAGAGGAGAAACCCTTGAGGAAACCGCATGCGATTTCTCCCGTGGTTTTTGTCTAGAATGTCATTTTGCAGATGCTCTGCACAATCCTTGGGAGAATCCCTCCAGAGATTCATCCGAGGGATCCGTGATGGCTGCAAGTTGCTAACTTGCACGGCTTCTCTTTTTTTTTTTTTTTTTTAATAATTTTGAACAAGACACAAAAGGACATTTTGTGCTAACTTTTGGAGGATCTAGGAGCTTCTATTGTTGGCTCTTAACAACCAAAAAACACATTATTGAATAGAGAGATTGGCTCTTGAAGACCAAGAATACATACTACATAGTTCTTCTAGCTTAAGAGTAGTTAGTTCAAGTTAGTTTGAGAGAAGAGAGAGAGTTTGGAGAAAGAAGAAGAACAACCAAAAGGGTTGCGTCTTGCCCTTTTAGGCGAGACACAAGCCCTTAATAAATGTAACTCTCTTTATTTTCTCTTGATTTAGTGTAGGTTAGTGTAGTATTGTAAGTTAGTTGTGATGTATCTATGTTTGTATTGACTCAACAAGAAGGTCAAGGGAGATGAAGAAGGAGAGGTCCAAGAAGCTCTAGTGACAAGGGTTCTCTTTTTTCCATATCTTTATCTTTGCATTGAACTCCAAGTTTGTTAATACAAGATTTGGATTTTGTGTTTATGATGTTATTTTAAAGTATATGCTTTGAGTATTTGGTTGAACTTTCTATGATTGTTTGGTGTTGATTTCTTGGTTGGTTGATGCTATTATCTTGATTGAGTTTTTTTAGCACTTTTGCTCTTATAATTATGATTAACTGGCTATTGATTATGATTATGTAAAGGTGTTAGATTTGCAATGAGAATTGGAATTTGACGATAGTTCATAGAAGTGTTAAACTTAGGAAGTACACTCACGAAAGTAGAGATATATCTTTGTGGCTTTGTTCTATGTAATTTCATAGAAATTAATGAACTTGTCATTATGATCATAGTTAATTGGGTAAATTACATTTTACCCCCCTGTGGTTTACCCTTTTTTTACATAACCCTTCTATGGTTTCAAAAGCTATACATAACCCCCTCATGGTTTGGATTAAAGTGTCAAAGTAACGGAAATAGTCACTCGTAACGGAACTTCTAAAAATGTCGAAATTACCCTTATAAATACATGACACATTAACCCCCTATGATTTTTATATTTTACCATATAACCCCCTTATGGTTTAATACTTTACCATATAACCCCCTTATGATTTTTAAAATATACACATAACCCACCTTGGTTAATACATAAATTTCAACCTTACATAAAGGTATTTTTGACATTTTAGGTGATGCCGTTAAGAGTGACTATTTCCGTTACTTTGACACTTTAATCCAAACCATAAGGGGGTTATGTATAGCTTTTGAAACCATATGGGGGTTATGTGAAAAAATACTAAACCACAGGGGGGTAAAGTGGAATTTGCCCTAGTTAATTTCATAGAAATTAAGTAGCAATTGATTATGAATACCTAAAGGTATTAGATTTGCAATGAAAATTAAAATTTGACACTAGTTCATAGAAGTGTTAAACTTAGGGAGTACACTCACAAAAGTAGAGGTACACTTTGTGGCTTTTGTGGTTTTGTTCCATATAATTTCATAGAAATTAATGAACTTGTAATTGAATTCATAACCAGGAAAGTACAT